GAAAAGAAAACCTATATAGGTGATTGACGACGTACGGTATATGCCCAACTTCCATCGGCTGCGAGATAACGTGCTCCAAACAAACAGAGCCCCAAATCTTGTTTAAAGACCTTATTATCAGCGGTGTTTTCTTCAAACACACTACCATAAAGAAACTATAGAAATTCTTACTAGTTACAGTGTTACTTTTCCCTATCAACTTCAAAATCGCTTAGCCAAAGTCATATGGATTAAGGTCATTTTTCCTGGCGATTCCGATATTGTATCATTATAATGATATCGACTTTGGTATCTAGCTCATTTCTACACACTTGCGCTAGGTGTACAGTCTAGATTCAAGAATAGTGCAGCAGGGAAGTTGACTTTGTGATTTACTTGGATACGTCTTGATGAATGCCTTGTGTGATCATGTTCTTAGGAAACCTACTGCGAAAAATGTTTCGATCATTCCAAGAATGACATTGCGGACCGCACAGAAAATCTTTGGGGAGAACAAAAAGTCAAAGAAGCACATGGTTACTGAACTGAAAGGCATGCTTCAGCTGATTCATATCTCGAAACAAATAATATGGATCAAATTCATATCTCGAAACAAATAATACAATTTTGGGGCAGAAACGTTTCTCCTCGAAATACCACAAACGGTGGGGAAACACCCTCTGCTGAAGATATTGGGAACGACAAAAATCAAGAATAGTGAACGAAACCGTTTGTTTTGGAATTAACACACATCAACACCGGCTAAATTTTTTGGGCAAATCCGTGACTTCGGCTTTGCTCATGCTTTATCTGAGTGAGAAGAAGAAGATAATAGAAAAGAGGGAATTAATGAAAAGATACGTCTATGTGACTACCTTACGTAACTATGCAAGAAAGGAATTCGCAATTAGTTCACCTTGATTCCGCATAAAAAATAGCCCCAGTGATATAAGAGTCAACTAAAAAAAGGAATTTTGAAGTTTCTAGACAGAAGAGAGATGCTGCACCGGGAAAAAATTTGATATTTCACTCTTGATAGTGTGTTTGAAGAAAATACGTCGAAAATAAGGTCTTTAAACAAGATTAGGGCCCTGTTTGTTTGTAGCACGTTATCTCGCAGCCGATGGAAGTTGGGCATATACCGTACGTCGTGATTGACTTTTGGGTTTTGAAAGGAATTCGCAATAAAAAAAACAAAGTGTTGAATAGTTGGGAACCGTTCTAATGGAAGATTTAAAAAACAGAAAACAGAATCTCCTGCAAAATGGAGTGCAAAACCAAAGTCATAAAATGGAGGAAATAATAGCAGCTCGGGTTCAGATACTGACCAGATAGATGTGACACAAAATCCGCTTCAACCTTTCAAAAAGTATCTAGTTCTCATCAAGACCAGACACCACCTAACGGCCCTATGTCAGGAGATTGCACATTTAAGCGATGAGCACCCGAAAATTGCGGGAGACGGTCAAGAGGCGCGATTTTCCGGCTACCACCAATTCAAGACTTTACTTTAGTACTACGCAAGTCTGCAAAAATATCAAATGAAGTGCATTAACTTGCCATCTATCTACGGTTAACATTTGCTGAACTTAGGGGCTTTTGTTGAAAAGTGGACCGAAATTTCACGGATTTGTTTTTGAACATTTTTATGGGTTTTTGACCTTCAAAATTACTGTTTTGAAAATTCCGAGGTAGCGAGACTGAGGAACTCATGAAACTATCTAACATATCTCCTTCTAAAATTTGAACACTTTTAGAATGTTGTAAAACACTTATTATTCGCTATTTGATGTCCATCTGGCAATTAAAATCGCGCCTCTTGACATGCACCCGGAAATTGCGATCAAGCAGAATTATGACAGCCGGAATAAGATACGGATGTCACGTCAAAAAAATTTCTAATCATTTCAGGCAAAAATTATGCTAGTTTCGATAACAGGTGTATTAAGAACAAAATGAAACAGTGAAAGGGAGCGAAAAAAAAAAGCCAAAAACGACGAATCCGCACAAGCACAGCGAGGGAAAATGTGTGCAGTTTTTCGTTGAGTTCTTCTGCATTGTTAGGCAAATTATGATGTTTTGTAAGTTACTCAGGAGCAACTTACGAGAAGTTTCTCTGCGCATCATCATTAGCACACTATTTTCATCAAATGGTAGTCTAACTGAATGTGAACTGACTGAAGTAAGGTAGACTACCTCGTCAGGTAGACGGACGCTCAGCTGAAATCTCATTTAGCATTCTTACAACATGGAAAGCTGGTGATAGGCAGTCTACCTTACCGAACCTCGGATGAGGGCTTCAGTTCAGTTCACCTGAACTGAACTAGCTTTACTACGGGCCATTTACTTTCATCAGTGGAGGGATGTCTTTTTTATCCCAGTCGTGCTTAGCACAGGAATTGGGACTCACAGAATACTTGAAGGGAAATATGAAAGTCGCCAGGTCAAGAAATGGTATAGAACCATTAGAGGAATCCCATTGTGCCAGAGAAATACTTACGAAAATTACAGGGATTGTATCGACCAAGACCGTCAGCCGAGATCATCCGGCATACGAAATTTGCGAGAAATTTCTCGTGTGATGATCTGATCATTTTGACACCCACATTTTGATTACTTTTCCTGGTTTCGTTATTGTTGTTGACTTCTTCATTGGATTTGTTCGTTTTCTTGCATGCCCGGATCGATACTCTCCGCAATCTCCAGTTGGCCAGCCGCTGATCTACGATTTTGCGATATTGCGCGGGATATTTGGTAGTGCTATTTCATAATCTTTATCAATCCCTGTGAATGCTATAAAAGCGAGCCGCCACGGCTACCCTCTGCTCTATTTTCTGTGTTTTTTGTATGATAAAGAGTTTGGTTCGAGCGTCTTTGCTCCCCCTGCTATCTGGCCCACGCTACGTGGTGGTAAGCGTGCTGCACTCGATAATCAACACATGGTTGAAGAAGTCCTTCAGTCCTCCAATACTACGGGGATCTCGTACAGCCTCGAACCAACTCACGCCGCATAGAGAGATCGCTTCGCGAAAAATTCGCGCAAATCGTGATTCCTGATCCATACCCAGTAGTGGCAGGCCAAAGAACACAGTTCAGCTAAGTCATCGACAGACCAACAAAAGTGTGCCAACCAGTGATATACTGAAGGAACTTATAAAGTGTTCCAGGGATCACAACCTCCACTTCAAGGTAAAAACCGATAAGACGAAACAAGCACCCGCCACCAATTTAAATGCCACGATGAAAATTTTCTTGTGCCGGAGACGAGGTGATCATGACTGAACAAGTTTACGCGCGCAAACGTGAGATGATGCAGGAGGACGGAGAAGAATTACAAAAGCGGCAGCAGCGCGCAGTACACGTATCGTTGAAGCTCCTAAACGATCGCAGGAGGGAGACGCAGCGCATCCTGGAGCGGCTCAAAGCAGGAAAGGTGATGGAGAAGCAGTAGCGGGGCAGCCGGTGTAAACGAGGCCAACAAGTAGAAGATGAGGAAGAAGGCGAAGGAGACGAATGATGGAGAAGAATGATCACCAAGCAGGTCCACAGTGTCGAAAAACTCGACCGATATTTTCCGTTTTGATAATCGATTTTTGATTGCCTTTCAAAGCCAAGTGCGCGGCTAACCCTTTCTTTGTACGGCTGCAGCTCCGCTAAGAAGCTAAGAAGCTCCACAGCCTGGCGACCTCCTCCTTTCGTTCTTGACTTTAGCGCTATTTTAGATACCTTGCTTCATCTTATTTGGTTGGGCCTTATATTGCTTCCAAACCTAGTGCCTTTATTCGCTTTCAGTTCATTTAGACCAAAACTATCAAGTGTTTTATCACTTACGTCCTGCCACAATCAGAATCTCACCTTGAAATGGTAATATATTTCGCTTGCAATATCGTTTATAGAAATTTGTCTTTGTTAATAAAGGTTTAATTACCCAAGTTTGAGGTAACCACGTGCACAACTTTGTAACTCTGGAGACCCGCGTGGCAGTTGATATTTTGGCGGCATTGTCAAGTGGTATTCGACGATTATAGTACTGACTATACAGGGTGTCCCAAAAAATGTAAGCACTGTTTGATTGTTAATAACTTTCTTATTATGAGGTCTTTCGAGAAGCGGTAAGGCGCCATTTTTACAGGCTTCAACTTAGATTCACAGTATAGAGCGAATCACCGATCGCTCTTCACTACTGTAGGATTACGGAGAAACTTGGAACATATGGTGCCACTGTGGAAAAAGCTGCCGTTTAAATTTTCAAAAAGATGTGAAAACTTGTGTAATAGGGGTTTTAGGGACGCTGAGTTCAATACTCAACTATTCTCAAGATTGCGAAGCTTTCTGACGGTGTAACTGCACTTTTTAGGAACATTGAGAAAATAGCCGCTACTGCTTACCTCGCATAACTCTCAGTGAAGCATCATAATAAGTTGGAAGCTTTACAGTTGGAATCAGCAAATCTAATCGGCCTAATGTAAAAGTTTTCCGGCTGTTTTGATTCCTTCCTGAAGCAAAATATGGCCTTTCATGGCCCAAAACCCTCTTTCAAGTTTCTACCGTAATTTTACTGTAACGGAGAAAGATGGGCGATTCGCTCTATAATGTGAATCTATGTTGAAGCCAGCTCTACAAAATGGCGCTTACCGCTTCTCGAGAGACCTCATAATATAAGAGAATTATTAACAATCAAACAGTGGATACATTTTTTTAGGACACCCTGTATACCTCGTCTCATTCCATTATACAACTGGCGTTTGGGGCTCTTTACGAAACGAAGGCAAACTTCTTCAAAAGTAGTTGATCTGGGACAGTATTGATCTGGAGGATGATAGCTGCTACAGTTTCCCCTTCATTCTGAAAATTCGGTTCTCCACTGCGATCCCTTCCCCAGCAAGACTTGTAAGTAAAAGATAAATATGTGACAGGAATCAACCGCCAAGCTAAAGCTAGCATAAATAGACGCTTCCTTCTTTGCTTTTTGAGGAGAAGTTCACTCAGACCCTCTGTACAAAAAAAACTGTATTTCTTTGCATATGCGGTGTAATCCCATCAAGAAGCTGGCAGCATGAATAAAATTCTTTGATTATGCTTGCGATTATAATTACAGTCGAAAAGAAATGTCAGACATGATATTAACGATGGAACTTAATTATATTAGTCGCACACCTGACATTATAGCACTCAACAAGCTTGCCCAAAAGTCAGATGAGGTAGTGAGCTAGCACTTCTACGATGATTTGGCAGATATTCAATTGGCAAGGCATTTCGGAACAAGTAGTAACACCCGAGAAAACAAACAATTGAAAACATAACAATTAAATAGTCTGTAGGATAGCTCAGATAGCTCTGAAGATGTCTTTCGAGAGGTCAGGGCTAAGATTGGGTGCATATTTTGGATCAGGACCAAATCCAAGATCACCGACAAATCTGGAAATTTGCTAGGATTTTTGGGCGAAAAGGAAAAGTGCAGGTCTTACCTCTCTGCATCCGAAATCTTCAAACCACATGGTCGACGGAATTCGTTTCCTTTTTCATGAATCCATTTATTCGAGACCTGCAACAGATTAAAAAAACCCATTTTTTGCTTAGATATAAAGTTCACTTACCCATTTTACTCCCACAAGGACTGGGCATGCGGCATGACGAGTTCTTGGGTCGCCATCACCAAATCTGTGTAGGTTGTACCAGAATAGGGCATCGTTCTGGAAATAGTCGTTATTTTCTAAATTTCACGATTGGTCAAAGGATTTCCTTGCTTAAGTCTTTTCAACATTTTTTAGCAACCTAACAAAAAATTCCCTTTTCAACACTTTCTGCATTTCTCAAGCCAAGATGTTGACGAAGGATTGGCAAAAATACCTTTGATGGCATCACCGTAGATTTGGCATCGGTAAATACAGTGGCACCGCCAAATACTGGCTGAGACATCTGAAAAATAACCCAAATACTAGGTTTTTCAAAATTTTATAATTTGACTCACGTAAAGAAGAACAGTAGCGATACGATTGCCTGTGCCAAGAGTATCGAAAGATTTCACCTCATCTTTCCGAGCATGGTCAAAGTGAGGGTCGTAGTGACCCCCGATACCGTAGTTAGCAATCTGGGAACGTAGTTCATTTTTAAAACCTTTTATCTAGAGATGTTTTGATACCAAACCTGCAATTCCTCAGCAGTTTCCATTTCTAGATTTGTCATCATATCAAGACGTTTGTTGAAACGGTCAACGACCTCATGCTCCCATCCTTTTAGCCAAGCGCTAAAAGATAAAGAAATTTTTAGTAGCATATTTTGGCAGCTTTTCGTTCCATGTGGAATGTTAAGAAGTGATGTAGAGAATTTTGGGAAAAGACAGAGTAAACAAAAATTGTTACTAACGGATTTCTTCTCTGCGACAAACTCGCTTATCAAAAGCATTTCTTTTGCAATGAAATCTGCACTTTTTGATTAAGATAAAAAAGGTCAAGTCTTATATGGAATTTGCAAGTTATTTGGCAAGTTATATTTTTGAAGACAGCGTCCAGGCAAAATTTCTCCCCGATTAGTACCTAGTCCACAGAACGCCTTGGAGGTAAGACACCTACGTTAGTCCGAGCTTCTAATGTGGTCTCTAAATGGGAAAATGGACCTGGAAGTCGCGAAAGTGCTATCAAGCCACGCCCGCTCTATCAAGCTTCGCCCACCCAAGTGCTGAAAGTCGCCGCCTTCAGGACAGGGGACCCAGAAACCAGGTTTTCCAGGGGTTTGGCATTCTTGTAATTCATCCCTATAACCAAAGCCACAGAAAGACCCCAGAATAACGAAAACATGGAAGGCGAAGATTTGGATGTATGCAGGCTTTAACTATGATGAAACGTTAGAAAATAAGAGACACAAAATCTCCTTAATTTTTCTGCATTTCCACTGCCGTGCAATTCTCATTTGGTCAGTCGCATTATTCCCAATACGTACTAAAATTTACTCTTTCTACAATTAACCAAATTACTTACCTTTTACTGATTCGGTACGTTGCCGTGATAAGATTTCCTGTAGCCGCATCATGAACAGTGGCACGAGCAAGCTGTAAAGAATGTAGAATTATTCTACTGGGGCTTTTGACCAACTCTTTGTCACCACTAGTCATAAAAAATCAATAGCATCATCAACTAGACGCTCTACACTCTTCACCTTTGGTTTTGCTAGTTCTTGTATCATTTCCACCTCCTCATCGCTGATAATATCCTTGAAGAGAACAGCAAGAGGGTTGAATCTCTTGATTTCGACCTGAAAAATTCAATTAGAAAGCAGTCACACCCAGACGACAGCTTCAATTACGGCCTTGAAGATTTACCACTTGGCTCAACCAAAACAAGCAGCATTTGTACTAAGAGCTGAGTAGTTAAAGTTTAGAGAATAGAAATCTGTTGCAAAGCTCAAACAAAATAAAATTTGAAAACCGAAGACATCTTATATATAAAGCTGAATGTCTGTTTGTCTGTCTGTCCTGTCTGTCTGTATGTCTGTCTGTCTGTCTGTCTGTCAGTGGCGTACCCAGGATTTCGGCTCGGGGGGGGGGGGGGGGCGCGACAAAAATTTTTTTCTAAAGATGGTGCGTGGCGTTAGCCACGCACTCCGAAAAAATTTTTGGGGTGCTTCTCAAAATTTTTCCGGGTCCCCGACCCCTAAAATCTGGAAAAAGGGGGCGTGGCGTCAGCCACGCTCCCGAAAAAAAATTTTTTTATAAGGCTAAAATGAATTTTTAAAAAATTTTAAAAATTATTTTAATTATTTACAAGTAAAAACAAGTCACTTGCACATTTTTATGACCCATGTAAGTAACTTTCAAAATTTCGCGACCCGTTCTCGGGGGGGGGGGCGCGCGCCCCCCCCCCCCGGTCCCCCCCCCTCGGTACGCCACTGCTGTCTGTCTGTACGTATGTTCCGAATACAAAATTCCATTTCTGAACCGATCCGGACCAAACTTGGCACACATACACATCGGGCCCCGGCGGGTATCATAAGCCACTTTTCGTCATCGATCGATATCGATTTTATCGATTTTTTGCAAAATTTGAGCTACGGGGCTGGGAGTTGGCACAGGGGGTAATCGAGCATGCTGATTACGATATAATAATGACAGGACCGGGCGGAGCCGGGTAAGTCAACTAGTGTTTCATAAAATGTCATAGATTTACGAGATAAATGTTATTTAGTATATTTGAGAAAAATCCATGACCAAACATTTGAATTTAGCATACTTTTTATTTCTGCGTATGAAAAAAATCTACCTTTATCGGGGCATATACCAGGAATGGTCGATCTCGCTTGTAGTAGCAATACAGCTTTGATAGTTCTTTCTCGCTCTGAATGGACAAAAAGTTGCTTACAAGTTGTTTCTAATCTTCCATAGAGTTTATTGTATTATTTACTTACCACCGGTACTTCATTCCGACAGAGAGCCTCGTAAACCATACGCTCTTCGTCACCAAGAGCACTTGTTGGGCGATCATTCCTTATGCGTCCTAAGGATCTGTAAATGTATCCTAGATTACGGTAATTCCTTCGAATCTTATCGATTGTTAATATCTTTTCGGACTTTTTGTTACTCTACACATTTTAAAAATGTCATATTAGTTACACTTTGAAATCACTCATTGTCAGTTTTAGATTCCATGCAGAATCCCAACTTGGATCTACATTTTTCGTCTGTGATTTTTGAGTATATCTTTACCGATAAAATTATATTTGTTGAAAAGTCGTAAAGCACCATTGGATTTCCTTTTTCATCTTAAGAGATTCTGCTAGCATAACTCCCCTTCCTTAAATATAGAAATGCATACCTTCTCATCTCGGCTTTCTTTACACCCTCCTCGGCAAGCAGGTCTTCATACCATTTGATGTTTTCCTTTTTGCTCGGGGATGTTCCGGATCTAAACAGATGAGGAGGTTAGCATATACCACTCATTCATTACGATTTTTTAATAATTTTATGCCAATGTAACAACTACGTAAAGGAATGCAAGCCAGTCCTGATCTAACAGCGATACTATAACGTCAGGTATTTGCAAAAAACAGAACTTTTTCATACATTTACGCTGACAAGGGAATGATGATTAGTTGAAGTGGTCCCTCAAGATGAGCTGTATGGTCTGAAGGGCATGAAACGTAGTAAAAGAAAAAAGTGTTGTGTATGGACGATGTTTGAGTTCATTCAAGTTTTTTTTCAGAACTGCAAAACAACGAACTCAACAGAGGGATTGAACCTGTCATCGTCTGCCTACAAGTCCCATTACTTTAACCAATAGACCACCCTCTCAATTCGCTGCCGTCCGATTGCCCAACCTCTTCCCCTCTCCAACCTCCATAACTTCTCCTCCAGAAACGTTTAGCAGATAAGGATGTCCGATTTAGAATCAGCGATTTAATTCCTTCAAAGTTTCACACAACACATCTTGATAGGCTACTCTGAGTAAACATTTTCCCTCGTGAGAGAAGTAGTTGTTGTATGGTATGTTTACTAGTTTGTGACACGACATTTTTGCAAAAGTCATTTATTTTTTTACTTGTCGGAGTGAACTTGAAAAAACTTTTGAAAAAATTTGATCTTTTCATGGCTCTCAAGGTTGACAGGAAAATGCAAAATTGATTTTTCAAAATTTTTCAACGTTTACAACTCTAAAACTAGAGGAGTTTCACTGAAACTAAGAGCTCCCAAAACAAAATCGCATGTCATCCCATTTTTTCACTGTGAGGGTAATTTCCGATTTTAACAGACTACTGGCACAAGATGTTCTTCAAAAAACATTAGCTAAATTTTTTACTACAAATCGTCCTATTTCCTAATCGTGAAACCAATTCATTGTCTTGTGCTGTAATTGTTATTATATGTATATTTTTTGCTGATGTCTTTTTCATGCACTGATACTATGGTTTATACCATTGCAAGACTCTCCTTTTACTATTTCTACTCACGTGTATCAATAAATAAATAGATAAATAAATAAACTTACTCAATTCATATAACTCCTCGATATATTGCAAAGCGTGTTTGAGATTTCCTTGCTTGTATAGCGAGAACGAAAGGTATTCCAGTACCTTGGAGATGCTTGTGATGATTTATATCCATCAAAGTATTCGGTAACGACAACGTACTTCTTCACGATCAGCAGCTGGGTCTTCCTCATCTTCCATCTTTCGTAGTGCCTCTTCCATCCACATAATGGTATGGTAATAGTCACCATCATTGTATGCGGCTTTTGCGATAGTGAAACAGTCGCCAGCTGGAAAAGAAAGATAATCATTTATTAACTTTTCTTAGCGAGGATATTGACTGATTTTTTTATTTGTATTAATCCTTTCAGGATGAGAATGTGTGCTGAATTTTTGAAAGTGACTTTTATGGGCTTAAGTTGTAAATTATGAAATATAAATACCAAAAGCAGAGTCAGCTTTGTGGAAATAAATTCTCGAGGAAGGTGGGGGACGGGGGGGGGGGGGTGTCAAGAGGCGCGATCCTATTGCCAGATGGGCAGCTTATAGCACATATTTAGTGTTTTATAAAGTTCTAGAATCACTTGAAATCTCAAACGAAATATTTTTGGTAATTGCACGGATTGCTCCATTTCATCATCCTGAAATCAATTCCAAACAAAATTGTTGAAGGTCAAAAATCCTCGAAAATGCACTCAATAGCTATTTGTAAATAATCCGGTCAGTTTTCTAGCAGACCTCGTCAAACTTGTCAAATGGTTACTTCAAACAGCTAGTAAGCCATGGAGTATGTCCGGCACTTTTTGAACCCTCCCATAGCCTGAAACTGGAGTTTTAAGTTGGTGACAGCCAGAAAAATCGCGCCTCTTGACCGTCTCCCGGACGGGGGGGGGGGGTTGCTAACGCAAAATTTACTTTCCCAGACTCTTGGGTAACTGGCTGGAATCGGAATAAATTCTGTCGCAAAACATACTCAGACAAATCACGGGAACTTCCCGAGGGGCCAGCCAGTTCCATAATTGCTTGTATTATTTGAGTTACTGTATAATGTTACTGTATCCTGATCTCTGGAGCATAATCGTTGGCAGTTTCTTTCCTATCGCCATCACAAAGTTTTTACGCGTGTGTGTTCATTGCCAGATGAAGAGGATGATGATGAATCGCCTGATGTGACTAGCCAGATGTGTGATTGTTGCCAAATGAAATACATAAATATTATTTCTTTTCCAATTTCATGTGTGTAACCACGTCGATGAGGAAGCTTGCAGAGGAAAGAGCAGAAAATATGCTTACGATAGCATACAGGCCGAATAAATAATCCTGCGGAAGTTCCCAGCACGAGGGAACTTCCCGAAAGCTTCAATTAGGGAACTTCCCGAAGACGATAGCGGTACTTCCGCAGGTGACCGTCGGGAAATTCCGCTAAGGCCCTCGGGAAGTTCCCGTGAATTGTCTGAGTAGCTATATCACATCTTTTCAATCGGAAGAAGTTCATCCTCGGGAAGAATTTTTGTACCTCTACAAGTATAAACTGATAGGATTTAGATATTGTAGATGTCGCTAAATAATTTCAATATGAATTTGAAACTCACAATCGAATGTATAGTTTCCTTGACTGTCGTAGATTCGACCCTGAGCAAGATCCCTGGTATCCAGACGATAGGTGTCTTGTAACCTCAGCAGCGCAATCGCAGCCCCGGTCAAATCCTCCTAAATGGCCCAAATCTCATATTTTGTAAGTGACCATAATTTCTCTGCGTTTTTATTCAACAGGCCTTGCAGCCACCACCAGGCTAATGCCGCCACCTCCTTTCTCATCTCTCGTTTTTGAAAATTGTTCAGTTGAACAATCCGCCTTCAAAACTTAACCTTTAATCCCACTAATGGTTTTGTATGGGCTAACCTCGGTAGGGTAACGGACACCGTAGTTCGCATCGGTCATTTGCTCAATGAAATCGTGAGCCCTGTTCGTTAGCATTTTTCTTTTTAGCCCTTTCCAATCGAAAATCTGGAACGAAGCGTATTGAAGGTTTAGAGAATTTCATGCCATGAGAAATTATATACCTTTTTTTTGATGAGTAAAAATGCATTGACTGGATTAGAAATGTCCTGCAATCCGGTTTCCAGTGCTGCGTCATTTTTGCTCTCATATTGTAGTGCCAACCTAAATACAAATTGTGAAAGATTAGGGCCAATTAGTCTTCTGTAAATCTCTTAAAAAGCACTCAGTTCCAAAAACTGGCTGCAATTACGGCACGCTCACTATGTAAAGTACATGTCGAAAAAGTGCATTGCTGCAAAATGTTCAGAATTGTCCAAAATTCCGAAAGTCGTAATTTCAAGATTTTTTCATTCTATAGCTCACAAAGCTGATTATCTTTGAAAGCTTATTATGAGCTGATGGCTATCGGTTTAGACTCAGAAAAAGATTTTAATTGCGGTATATCGCATTTGTTTCGAAATTTGGAGATTAGGATCCAGGGCTTACTCTGGGCGGAGTTGGCCACTTTGGGCCGGAACGTGTCGATGCGCTGATTATGGAAAGTCTCAGTGATAGACGTTAAATGTGTGTGTTTATGTGCTACTAGCTGGCTTACCCGGCTCCGCCGTATGTTCCGAATAGAAAATTCCATTTCTTAACCGATCCGGACCAAACTTGGCACACATACACTTCGGGCCCCGGCGGGTGTCACAGTCCACTTTTCGTTATCGATCGATGTCGATTTTATCGATTTTTTGCAAAATTTGAGCTAGGGGCTGGAATTTGGCAGGGGGTGTAATCTAGCATGCTGATCACCCCCACGGGGGTGATCAGCATGCTCGATTACCCCCCTGTGCCAACTCCCAGCCCCGTAGTTCAAATTTTGCAAAAAATCGATAAAATTGATATCGATCGATGACGAAAAGTAGCCTATGACACCCGCCGGGGCCCGAAGTGTATGTGTGCTAAGTTTGGTCCCGATCGGTTCAGAAATGGAATTTTCTATTCGGAACATACGTACACACAGACATACAGACAGACAGACAGACAGACAGACAAACAGACATTCAGCTTTATATATAAGATATTTACCGGAATTTATGATCCTCTCCATAAAAGTTCAGCATAATCACCCAACTGTCCAAAAAAAATCTCAAATTTTTGAGAATTCCCCTTCATTACCCAATTGTTGAGAAAAGAAAATAAAAGATTGAATCTCTTTATGAAAAAGTGTACACTACTCGCAAACTGTCTATCAGTTAGCATTATCTGCGATGGTGTCAGTCAACTTTTATGAGCGGTATACGGTAGGACTAAAATTGATAATGACCAAAGATTTTTGCATTTTCGGTACGGTATGGCAAGGTCTAGATTTGGCAAAGTGAGATGCGATGCTTGACAGCTCAACGGCGCTCAGATAATTTATGTATTCTTTTTTCAAGGTCTTATCTTCGACGAAGAATAGATAAAACTTTCTACTAAAAGATGTTCTACATAGAAAAACAAAGTTGAGAAAAACGAGTTTTCTAACAAAACGTGGTATGTGTCTTCAGCTTTGAAGCCGTGAAATCTAAGTCACGTTTTGAAAGTTTTTGATGTTATTATAACTCTAGAATAAAGTTTCCAATCAGAAAGGACAGTACTGGAGACCAGAGGATAAAATATGTAGTGTTTCCTATAAGCTTATCCGAAATCATCTAGGCCTCTAGTGATTTGTAGTGAAGTCAATATATTAGGTTTACTGATAAATAATTTCGAGCGCTTTTGTGGATCTTACGAATGCTATAGGCAAATTTTTGTCCGATATCTGGTATTCCCGCACAGAGCAGTTTAATAAAAATCGGAACGTAAATTTCGTTTCAGTCGAACTTATTCTTCAATGAAGGCGCAAAGAAGTGAAGTACACCAGTTTTCTCATTTTGTGCAAATGCGAGAGTTTTTTTTTAACAAAGAACTCGAGATGGTCGACCACAATTTCTATCATTAATTGTTAAGCAGAGAAAACTTGTGTACATTTGAATAGCAGATTACTTATCTCTAATCCATTACAGATGACGAAGCTTGAAAATTCAAAGAATAAGCTTTTGGAAGTCAAACCATAGGGGGGGGGGGGGGAGGGAGCAACTGTTTTTGATAGTAGTTAAGTTTGAACTTCTTCTTCGCAAAATTTGTGGATAAAAAGGAAAAGTTTTTCTGCGGAGATGACGCCAAAATAAAATTTTTTACCAACTTAATGTTATTCTTCGAGATTCTTGAGATACTTTCTATATAAGCTCAAGCAGAAAATACTGGATGTCTTTTCGAACTCTCTTGATTTTTTCATAGAGATATGTAAAAACACACCTCTCATCAATATATATTTTTCAAAATCCGATCATCTCAACACTACATCCCTATACGGTTTTGCCAATTTTGCAAATATTTGCTGTTAAATAAACTGACGCTCTCAAGTCCGTCAATCGTTTCTGTTCCTCTTCGATGTAATTGTAGAGTAGTGATGGGATAGATTTCTCGGTGTCCAGCAGACCTTGCATTTCGGCCATGGAAGTAAACAAATCCGCCAGAGCGATGGCACTACACAGGGCCACAAGACCCAATGAGAAAATCATCTGAAAGACATATGATTGGTTTGTTCAATATTTCGAAACGAATGTTCTAGATAGAAGTTGCGATCAAAGACGATAACGGCGACGAAGGCGACAATGGGAACAGTTTACAATGTGTAGAGAAGATCTCGAAACTTCGGAGCGTAAACATAAACAGGAGAAAGAACGGAAATCTAGACAAACATTCAACAAGCAAACTCACAAAAAATTTGCGTGATTTGCTGGAAAGTGAATAAACTACCGAATTATATTCTAAAGAGTAAGGCAGCAGTGGCGATTCCAAGATTTCCTTTCCGGGGGGGGGGGGACAGAGAGAGAGAAGAGGGAGAAAAACTTTTTTGAATGAATGTGCTTAGCGACAGCCACTCGCTCCGAAATGAACTTTAGGATGCTTCCTACAGTTTTAGCGCGCCCAAAACCCCGAAACTATGAAGAAACCGAAAAAATTTTTACAAGATAAATTACAAATTTGAAATTTTAAAAAATCTTGAAAATTATTTCAGTCATTTAACAAGCACGATTGCACAATTTTATAACCCATGTAAGTAACTTTCAAAAATTTCGCGGTGGATAGAGAGTGTGGACAGCAAGCAGGTGCACCATTACAAAAAGATGGATCATTACTAAATGGAAGATTTTTTCAAACAAAGATTTTTTTGCTGAAATGCATTTTTTTCTAAAAATTCTTTGAAACAAAAAGGAAGTGATAGAGCGAAAGAAATGATGCAAACGCACGTCTCCATTAGGTAGCGATGTGTATGGGGCGTAAAACCGCCCTAGAAAAACTCGTTGTCGGACTTGTTTCTTGCAACGGAGGATCAATATCATAGGGAAGACAATTGCTCACTTTGAAAAAATTTTGCAGGATTTTTTGAAGTTAGAAAAGAAAAGAATCCCGAAGCTGCAAGTTAGCGCAGATTTTTGGGAATTTTTAGATATCTGACAGGAAAAAATGGACCGGAAAGAGTTACGTAGGTAGATCAAATTTGGATCGAAAAATACAACACTCAAAAGAAGCTGTATTTATGAACTGGAGTAAGAAAAAAAGTATTACACATCCGCTCAGATTTTCTTAGAAATAAGGATTTTCTATAGACAGGATGAGTTTTACGATTTTTTCTGGAAAAAATTTTTCGAAAGCATTCTAGGCCCTCTGTCCTCCTTACCATGGGGGTCGCAAGAGGGCCTGAAAACTAAAACAATCTCCGAATATGGGGAAGAATGAACCGGAGAATGATGAAAAAATCATTTTATAGGACTTTGTATAGGACGCTAAATCATGTGCCAAACTCAAAAAAAATGCCCATTCTATCTACCTGCCCCCCCTCCTCCTCCTGCCTTTGTTATCTTTTGCGATGGAATGTCTGACTAGCAGTTTGCAGTGAACACACCGTGAAGCTCAATTCATGCAGTCTAATGCTTTTACACAAATCTCCTGCGAGTAAAGGGCAAACCAAGTACACCACCAAAAAAACGCAAGAAAGAAGGAATTCGTCGTGGACGTAGCGAAAAGAAGGCTAAGCGGACATTCAGCGTTTTTTTTAGCGTGTGTTCAGTAGAAGCTTCAGAAACAAAAATTTGCGAAATCGCAAGTCGGATCAGTGTTGATAAAATAAACAAAACATTTTCGTACACTCATGAAACTTTAGAAAAAAAACCTTGATTATTTTCCTGAAATAAGCCAGAAAATCTGATCGACAACTGAGAAGTGTTAATCTTGTGTTCTCAAAATGATTGCTACAATTCGAAAGGGTATGTTGAGTGCAGATCTTGCACAATGTTCATATTTTTGGGCATGCACCCCGGGAACTTGCAAATGTGCTGTCTAAGAAATGAGGACAACTGAGTTAGGAAAATTTTACGAGAAATCTTATGAGTTTAGATCAATACGTACTGTTCCTATCATTTTATAATAGTAACTAAAATAACTAATCCAAGAATCATTTTTTTATACCGTTTTACAAGAGCAAGTAAAGCATCCACTAATTCAAAATTATTTTGATTTCTTTCTGGAAATGAACGCAAAGTCTATGTAGTGGCAAAACTTCCAAACAACGAAAAGAATCATAAAATATTAGGCCTACAAGCACGAGACGGCCTATAGACGGAATGATAGAGAACGGGGTAGGAGAGGAAAAAAGGAACAAAGTGCACTAACTATTTAGTAGAATTATCGAGTAAGAGTAGTTGTTTTGTTGAGCATCACGACCAAGATGGCAACTTCTCTTTATTAACTTCGGCCAACGTTTCGGCGCAATCGGCAGAGCCTAGAAAGTCAAATGCACAAGGATCTCCTTCCCCAGACGTCAATGAAGAAGCAAGATAATTCAGATTTGCTGAATTATTTTCCTCTGACGAAGACGATTGCGCAGAAATGTTGGCCAAAGTTAATAAAGAGAAGTTGCAATCTTGGTCATGTTGCTCAACATCATATACGGTTCATATCTATGTCAATATTAAAGAATAGTCGGAGTTGGAAGTAGTTATTTTAACTGCAGTTGTTTGCTTGGCTAATTAATTGAACGAATGAGGTTTCCTGATAGCAGTAGTCACCAGACATGGATATGTTTTCTCTTCCCGGAGCAGTGAGCTATCCTGCTTGCATAAAAAAGCACTTGGAGAGTTTACATCCGATATTTTTTACGCAAAATAATATTTTTGTACTCTTATTGCATTGTAATCGCATCTATTAGGTCGTGAAGAAAGATTCCGGGCACTTGCGAAATTTTTTTTTCAAATCGTTGTAACTTCAAGCAGATCGATTTTTTTAGCTACAAACTTCACTGCAAAGACAATTTTGCCTACAACATATACTTGTCTTGCTGGGTTTTCAGCATCTCACTGCGCCTACCAGCATGCGCAGAAGGGAAACAGGTCGTTGCGAAAAGTGACCTATTTGTGCAGGATGATCTCAGGCACGATGACAGCTGGAGAGCTAAAATGTTTTAGTTATATAGGTCTGCTGGGGCTGTTAGGGAGACTATTTAAGCCTTTGAGCGACCACAAAAAAGAGTAAAAAAAGTTTGTAAAAATGTGTCTCCAGAAAGTTTAAAAAATCGACCATTTTTTGCCCCTAAAAATGCACCATTTTTCGAGTAAATGACTTTGAAGTTTTGTCGTTTTGCACAGAGTGGACCAAGTCATTGATAACTGCGAACATTGTTGGAGTAATGCCTTACACATCTTTTGGACCCATCATCCAGACGCGGCGATCCCTGCAGAAGCGATGCCAGCTGCGAAAAGAGTTGCGGTCAGAGGCAAGTTCGACAGCCCCCAAACCGCAAAAATCGAGTGCAGCTGGTGCAGCTGCGAAAGTGCTCAGAAGTTAACAGACATCTCGATCAGATCACCTATGATTTGGACGAAAATCTTTGAAATGCGTAAAAGAATGGCCGTTGAAAGAAAAATTGTGAAAATTTTATGGTTGGGAAGATTTTTCTTCTTAATGTGCAGACCAAACACCTCTTGGCAGCGGTAGAAATCAGAAGTCGTATTGACAACTTTAGGCTTTCTTCTACTGAAGTGTATAAAAAAATTGGTATCAAAGTCGGGGCCAAAAAAATGCGTTTAAATGAAATTTTCTAAAGTGCCCGGGAACTTTCTTTACAACTTAATAGTTATTTGCTTTATGAGCTTGGCGATTTAAAGTCAACTTGTGATTTCAGATTCCCTTGACTTCATTCCTATAGACTTTGGATGAGCAGATCTGAGCTCAGCAAATTGACAAACAATGAGACTATAAACCACCATGGAAAAGTTGAGTTGAAAGGCTTTAAAAAGCTTTATAACACCAAAATTCTACGTACTTCAAGAGATTTGCATTTGTAAAGGTTTCACGAATAATTGTAATGCTAGGCGGAGAAATTAGTTATGCAGTAACTTCGTTCTGAGTTAAGGACTTGGAACTTCTTTCTCGTTTTCTACATAGAATTGCATTCAGCATTCCCTCTCAATAACTCAAAAAAAACTGTCACATCCATCTAAACATTGCAAGCGTGAATGACTTAACTAGTTTGCATTACGACCTAATGCTTATCGCGTTGACCCTGATTTGTTCTGTCGTCTTTGAGACGTTCGCAGCTTGGACTACTTTCTTCGATGTCATAAGAAAGCCTGGCTTAGAATACAGCGGTGCAAAATCATCTATATATTATCGCTATAATTTATTCTAAAGCTTGAACAGAGTTAAATTAATAATTATCGCCTACACTACATGCACTTCCTGAAAATGTTCTGTCACAATGTGAACATTCATTAAGATTAGCAGTTCCAACATAAATCGATTGCATTCTAGCAAAATATTTCTAAAAATGGAATAAAAATCAGCACTGCACAAACACAAATTTACTAACATTGAAGACGGACAGACAAATATGAGACGGCATAAATGCCCTAGATGGGCGTCATCAGTTGATGCCATCAATTGGGCGTTGCCTTTGGCACTTTCCCAAATGCCATTGGAAACGTCTTTACCATCTGCCAATTTAATTGTCGCTGGATAACTCATAAACTTTCCATAAGAAGCATTTTTATACAAGTAACAATTTTGGTAGGAACCTGCATTTTCCAGTACTCTAACTGGTACAGGCCGTGGCGCTGGCTCGGAGAGCAACGCTCTTGTCTTTTGGAAATAGTTCGTGACTTAAAGATGCGCAGAGAAAACAAGCGGCGAGAGTGCACGAGGAAAGAGGAGTGAAGCGCCGTACACATTTTGCGCACTCGCCGTACCCTGCGCAGACCCTATAATAAATTGTGGCCAACTAAAATTTGTTTAAATTACATTTTTGGGGCCCTCCTCTTCTTCATAGATGACACTCGGTTATAGCTATCGTGAGTACAGTGTCAACACATGCAATGAAGAATACTATGCAATTAACTGTCCGTTCATCCTATCGAAGTGAAAATTGTAAAATTATAATTTGGGCTCTCCGAATCACAATGGCTATTTTGCAATAACCCTGTTTTACTACTGCTTACCAACATTTCTGAATTAACCCATAGCTCCGCAACACATGGAAGACGAACTGGTGAATCAAAGATCAAAGCGATTTGTGAATTGAAACGTCGGATTTTCGACACGATAAAGAGGGATTAGACCGTTGCAAGTAGGAAGGACGAAGGGTCAGGGCCATCTCCACAACATTTTCCACGTAGAAACAAGCTGTTCTAGAGGGCAGATGTTGAGTTAGTTCAGTTATATAATTCAAAATTGTAGCGAAAATTTTCGCTGCTCTAAAAATTGCTACGAATGCAGATATTAAAGTATGACCCCTAACGAATTGCGGAGAGAGGAAGGGGGAGCCCAAAAATGGACTGCGAAATTTTTGGAAGTTTATGATAATGCAGACATATATGTAGACATTTGCACGCAACTTGTTTTTCCCTTGTGAGTAATCAACAGATTTTTGAAATATCTCGAAAATTCAAACTGGAAAATTTTCTTGAGGGCACAACCCCTAAAAATTGCGGAATTTACAACCCATAAAAAAGCTGGAAAGTATAGTTGTAACGAACAAAAATTTTCGCCGAATGAACGAATATCGAATAATCAATTTTTAAAATTTTTTCGAACGAATGAATATCGAATAATTGATTTTCGAAAATTCTTCGAATGAACGAATATTATTCGACTTTCAATTTTCAATTTATTCGAATTTGAATATTCGAATATTGGCACATTTCAAAATTCGAATGAACGAATACTTGAATAACCGAACTTGATCGAATATTCGACTAATTTCGAATAAATATTCGAATATTATTCGAATATTTGAATGCAATATTCGAATATTCGAATATTCGAATAACTATCTTTTAAAACTACTCGAATGAATGAATATTCGAATCACCTTTATTTAAAACTCGTCGAATGAACGAATATTCGAATAAGTCATTTTTCGAAGTCGTCGAATGAACGAATTATTCGAATATAGGCCTGTCTCATTTATTCGACTATTCGAATAATCGAATAAATGGACTTTCTCAAATATTCGACTATTCGAATATTCGAATAGTCGAATATTTCGAATAAATTATTCGAACACGAATATTCGGTGCTAACTATACTGGAAAGTATCCCAAATAATCCTTCCAAAGGCGTGACTAAACGCCCATTTATTTTTGAAAAATTTTTGGCCCTCTTCCTGGAACGAAATTTCTTCGCACTGGAACACACTTTTTCTTTTCATCAGCAGCGAAAAGTTATGATTTTTTTTCTGGCAGATTTCTATAACAATCTAACATTTGTTTAGAATCAAACTCCTCAAGCAAGCCAAAGTATAAACTAGAACTTTCCATTTCCTAAATTAAAGCCACCTCAGCTGCAAAAGACTTTCAATTTCCTTATACTTTCAGTACAGGAGAAAAAAGAAAAAATGCTTGCATTTCTTCAGGGTTTCAGAGCCAAATTTGACTTCTTTCTTGCATCTATCATCACAGATGTCTCACGGAGTTTTGGTGTATTTGCACCTTCACCGCCAACTTACCGTGGCACCTAGAAACCCTGGTATTTTGTAAGTTCCTCCTTCGACTCGTTTTATTACTCGACCTTTGCGCGACTAATTCATGTCCTTGGCTACCGTCACAATTATGTTGCATTTCAACTTGAAGAGAATATTATAAGAGTAACTAGCCATTGTCTGTGTGATTTGTGAAAAAAAGTTGGCGGACAGCGACCTAAGTTTCGGGCTACGGCAGTCTTTGGCCAGCCCTGACCCAAAACTAAAATAACAGTTTTTCTACAACGTGTAATGACTTCAAATGTTTGAGTATATCAAACATCAACATTACAACATTATTCAAAGCAACAAAGTGTTCGAAACAGCTTCGATTATGCGATTAGTAATGAAAACAACAGCAGTGGGTAAATTTTCGGGTTCGCGGGTACTGTAACCGGGTTGTCGCATTTATTTCTCAGTACCCAACCCAGTTATAAATGCTTCGTAGCAAATAAATTACGGTAATCGACAGGCAAGGTTCGCAACTGTAGCAGTTATAAGCAGAAAACTTCGTAAGTCTGGGGGATCAATAAATTAGAAGAAGAAAGAGCTGGTCAGAAGATTTTGAATTGTCGTAAGAACCGGGAAAATAAGTAGTTTGGAAAGCTGAAATTGGCAAGGCATTTGGAAAAACAAGTAGTCACCACCCGATAATACCGCACTATAAACAAAAAAAAAACAGAAACAACGTCGGACACTCAGGAACTCGGGCTAGGACCAATGACGCGACCTCGACATTAGAAGGCGACCTTCTGATGCGGATGTCATGGCACAGGTGTTCTTTTACGAACAACAACGATTTTCTCATTTTCTCTGCTCTCAGCAGTGAAGAGCGGTGGTGCTCTCGGACCCTAGGTCATCTCTGCACACCTTCACAACACCCAATTATACAGTGTCCAGAGTCGCGTGCCGGCACCGTGCCAGCGCCGTTCCAGTGCAGTGCCAGAGTCCACGTGGACGCTTTCATTTGTTAAAGTTTTGCAATGGATAGCACAGCTTTGAAACGGCGTTAAAACGGCGCTGGAGCTGAGTTGGAACAGCCCTGGAACGGCGCTGGCACGGAAAATTCAGGAGGCAAGCACATTGACACATAGGAGGAGCTTACCGTGATGTTTTCCCATTGGCAGTGTTACAATTAACGTTATTTGAGTGATATAGGTTTCCTCTCACCCAAACAATGGGCACCACCACTCTGTACCCTGTCGAGGGACTTCCTTACCCAATCAAAAATTCAAGTAAAGGCACCTGTACCCAAAGGTCACGGCAATGGGCCTAAACGCATGGTCCTAGAGTGTATCAGGGATGGCGATTAAATAGTGTGAAATACGTCCTTGGATAGTATTGGACTGAGATTCGGATGATTTCTTGGCGTTGGACCGAAGCCAAGATCGCCGATGAATCTGGAATTTGGTCATAAGTGTGGATGTACAAAGAATGATGTCTACCTTTCTCCATCGGACATCTTCAAACCGCAGGGACGTCGGAACTCGTTTCCTCGTTCATGAATCCATTTGTTTGTTACCTGAACAAATATGTTTATTTTACAAAACCTTTACATGACCCATGCAAAATGAATAAACAGAGTTGACAGAATTTGATAGGAAATACTCGAAATCCTTCCAGGTTTAAATTAAGCAGCATGCTTCTTACATACTACATAATTGTTTGGCAGAAATAGAGAGAATTACTATCATAAAAAGGTGTTCCAATCTGGCTAAACTTTTTAAGAATTAGATTTTTGAGTATTTTGGAATCCTGCTATGGCAGATTGAGACATAATATGCTCGTAAGCAGTTCCGGAAACTTATTAAGTATGGCGGAATCAGTGCAAAAAAACCGTGGAGGGTTTTGAAATTTTGTCAGCTGGCTTAGAAAATACTTTTGAGTTTGACAGAGATAGTTAGCCTTCTGAGTGCTTGAAATATCGAAGATTCTCCATATTTGGTGATTAGTCCAAGACTTGAATTTACAGTTTTTCTGACTTTGGCAGAATTAGTATAATAGACAGGATTTTGAGCATTTTTGACAGCCTTTCAATTCTGACATGTTAGTCTTAAAGATAGATATTTGCTCACTTCGGAAAATCTTTTGGGTTCGGCAGAATTGGACAAAAAAGTAAGTTTAAATTTAAGTGCTTCGTGATTGAGATGACAAAAAGAGGAGATGATTTTTATTTGACCACTGGAAGTCACAAAAATTTCGATTCTTATTTTCGGACCACAGAAATGTATCATAAGGAAAACATCGAAACAAACAAACATCGTAGACTATTGATCCCATTTGTACCCATGGAGGAAAATTTCGTCTGACTGACAGAAAAATAGATAGCATAACTACGCATCATCAATTTCATATTCAAGTCGAAGTGTAGATATTATTTACTTCTGAGCTAATCACTTCAAATTACTTGAAGTGATCAAAACAGCCGACTACTGGAGGAATCATGATTGCATCTTACGAGTCATCTGAAGCCTCTTCAAAAAACCGGTCTGATAGCTTTGACCATATAAAGCAATGCTTTTAGCACACATCGTAAAAGAGCGAGTTTTGCGCCCAGTAAAAAGCTTTCGACCACGTCGAGGGGGGGGGGGGGTCAAGAATTTGTCAAGATTTCGTCTTTCTTGAAATCATTTGACAGTACGAGCCACAGTCAATATTAGGGAGAACAACCAGGCATCAAAATCGGAAAAATGCTTACCCATTTTTGTCCCAATAAAACTGGGCACGCAGCATGACGTGTCAGAACATTTCCATCACCGTACTTATGTAGGTTATACCAGAAAAGTGCATCGTTCTGAAAAGAAAATCGTTTTGAAGGACGCGAAGGACAAATTTCTCAATAGCACATTACCTTTGTTGGCATTACAGATGACATTACTTCGGTAAATACCGTTCCACCTCCATAGGTGGGTTCAGTCATCTATAATTAGCCGAATTAAGCATTAAGCAAGTACCGGTCGGTAAATTGCGCAAAAATGCGTAAACTTACGTAAAACAACACAGTGGCCACCCTGTTGCCAGTTCCGAGCGCTTTGAATGATTCGGTTTCTTCTCTTCGCGCATGATCGAAGTGTGGATCGTAGTGACCACCAACTCCGTAATTTTGGACCTGAAAAACTGGATTTCTCAGAAAAATTGCAACGTTTTTCTATATTTTCTGCACCTGCAACTCTTCAGCCGTGTCCATTTCCAAATTTGTCATCATGTCAATACGTTTGTTAATTCGTTCCACTACTTCGTGCTCCCATGGCTTCAACCACGCGCTATAACAAGAACAAGTTCTTGCGAAGTCACTCACATAAAGCATGAGTGGGGGCGGGGGGGGGGGGGGGGAGCAGAGGCGAAAATACTTGGAAAACACGAGCAACTTGAAGCTCCCCACACTTAAACCCTATCTTGACAAGGCCTGTATCAGTCAATCAAGTACCTTTACTTTCCTACAAAAATGGTGAAAGCGGAGCTTTTGTTTTAGGCGTAAAAAACTGAAATCGCCGGATTCTGCGCGATGCTTAGGCACAAACACCTACCTTTTACTAATTCGATAAGTTGCATGGACGAGTTCTCCAGTTATCGAATCGTGAACAGTAGCTCGATTTAGCTAAAAATTAATATATGTAGTTAAATCAGTGTATGGTCGCCCCTGGTGCCAGAGGTATGCCAGCGTCGTTCCAGAGTGGTGCCAGTGCTGCGCCGGAACCCGTGGATACGCACTGCACTAATTGATCGTCGTTCCTGTTCCAACACTGCAGTGTAACGAAACGCACGGCGCTGGAACGGAGCTGGCACAGCGCTGGCACAAGCGACTCTGAACGCAGTAGGAAGGTAAGGAGATAGGCATCTAACCTTGGGTAAGGAGAGCTGCTCAATGATCGCAATCTCATCATCGCTCATCACCTGCTTGAACAGCACAGCTAATGGATTAAACCTCTTGATCTCCACCTAAAGAGACGATCCAACTCGAATTGCAGCTATATCTTTAATCCATAGAGAAATTTGCCTTAATAGGAGCATAAACCAGGTATGGTCTGTCTCTCTTCAAGTAGCAGTAAAGCTTTGCAATGTCCTTTTCACTCTGTAAAAAAATACTACTGAGAATTTGGATTTCACAACGACAGATACTGATGACTGTTACATTAGTCCCAACGTAATCCTACAGTAACCACACTTATTGATTTCTTACCACTGGCACTTCAGCTCTGCACAGTGCTTCGCACATTGCTCTTTCCTTATTACCCAATGCGCTATCTGGACGTTCGTTCTTTACGCGACCCAGCGATCTGCAAGGATACGGTATTTCAGTAGTTATACAATTTTACATCGCAAAAATACCTTCTCATGTCAGCTTTCTTTACTCCTTCTTCTCTTAGCAAACCCTCATACCATTTGATGTTGCCTTTAGCACGTGGATGATTGGGATCTAAATCGAAACTCAATGTGTGCGCTACAGTAATCATACAGTAACCTCACGGTCAAGACAATAATTAGAGTTGAGGAGTTTATTGTTCATAAATTCTAAGAAAAAGCGGAAAAATACTAATTTAATGAGTTCTCCAGCTACGACACTCAAGACAAAGCGAAAATATGCTTGCTACCGTAATCACATCGTAATACTACCGTAATCATATTGGTCGGAGCTATATTCCATAAATTACTGAGTGGGGAAACTTTGTGTTTGACTGGATAAAGGCTTTGTAGCCAAAAAATTCTCACAAGGGAACGATCCCAAATTAAGGTGGCGAATTGGAATGGACCGCATACCATCAGAAGCATCTTGATAAGCTGATTCCAAATCTACCTTCCTTATCTGCGACAACCTTATTTGCAAAAAGTTATGAGCGGTTGAAAATGTGAAGTTATTGGGGATTTAATGCATAATTTACTTCAAAATCCAACTTGAAAGTGCACGACTAGCATGATATTGATTTTACTGATTTCAAAGAATGCTCACATTCAAAAGAAACACAAATAAGTGTTTTTGAACAGCTAAAAAGCAACTAAAGCTCTCTAGTAAAAGCTGTGAGCAATGAAAAATCCAAATTTGGCAAATATACAGCGCGATTTCTCGAAAATTAGTTGTTCAAAAACACTTATTTGTGTTTCTTTTGAATGTGAGCATTCCGTGAAATCAGTACACTCAATATCATGCTAGTCATGCACTTTCAAGCTGGATTTTGAAACACATCATGCATTAAAACCCCAGTAAGTTCACATTTTCAACCGCTCATAATGTTTTGCAGATAACGTTGTCGCAGATAAGGAAGGTAGATTTGGAATCAGCTCATCAAGACGCATCTAATGGTATGCGGTTCATTCCAATTCGCCACCTTAAGTTGGGATCGTTCCCTCGTCAGATGACGCATAGACATGATCGCTACAGTAATCACACCGTAATCCTATAGTTCACCGAAGTTGGACTATTCCAGAAATTTAGTAACGGTGAAACACTTACTTATTTGATAAAGCTCCTCGACCATTTGAAGTGCATGTTTAAGATTTCCTTGTTTGTACAGAGAGTAGGACATGAACTCCATGATCTGAATTTTGAAATGGATAGCGGTATTTTACAAAATTTTGATTTTGACAAAAAAGTTTTGGAAAAGAATTTGAACACGGACCTGTTCCAAATCGGCGGTTTTCACAGTTTCGTGATACAAACGTCTTCTAGCCTCTTCCATCCACATAATGACATGATAGTGATCTTCATCATTATAAGCAGCTCGAGCAATGTCGAAACAGTCGCCAGCTAAGAATCAAGAACTTTTTTGGGATTTTTCTTAGGACATATGTATAATAATTTATAATACCGTTAAGCGTATAGTTTCCTTGAACCTCAAGAATTCGACCATTGGCCAGATCTCTGGTATCTAGTCGATAAGTGTCTTGTAGACGAAGAAGGCCAATGGCAGCTCCGATCAAATCTTCCTGAAGGATTACTGTAGAGCTTTGATCAATGTATGCACAACATAGTGATTGAAGAACGCAAGATTTCGAAGGTTTTATTCATGAGGGAAAAACTCAAGTAATTTTTTCGCGATTATTGCTGATTTTTTAAATTTTGATACCACCTCTCAAGCATATACCCGCTAAAAGAACAGATTATAAAAATCATAAAGAAGCTGAAGAAATTCAGGCTGATGGTTGCCCATTTTCTTAACGTTTTTGAGCTCTTAGATAATTTCATAAACAGTGGCATTATAAAGGCGCCTTCAATATGCATATTCTTCTAAAATACGATTATTTCTCAATAATAGAGTTTGTCTCCAAGACATGAAGAAAACAAAAATATTCTCTGTTTCGCGACAAAATTTCTTCAAATTGTTCAATACTCAAAAATTTTCCAGCAAAGACTAGAAGCACCTTCTTAAAGATTATGTATATCATCTGCAGTATTCTTACAAAAGTGTAAGAACAGTAGAATGACGACCAACGCTTAAGAGATTTTTACATCTTTGTTTTAACCCTATAGCTTCGTGCGTACCAACGTTTTCTTTTCAGGAAAATTCACATAACTAGAATTTGAAATATTTATATTCTGAACATAGTTTACCCAAAAAAAATGAGCCACCTCTGTGACCCACCGCCATTCACCCTCTTCGGAGCTAGCTAGCAAATTTTCTCATTATGTAATTTACTTTTGAAATAATCCCCTGTTTACTAATGCTTATGCCATACCCCTCCACAAGATCGTCAATAGTCCCACTGCTGCTCCGTTTTCCATCTATCTTGTACATCGCAAATGATAAAACACATTTCTTGTGTTCGACACTGACCCATGTATTGCAATCGACCTTTTCACGGCCACTGCTCCATTTTAAGTGGAAATGTATGAGATTTCTTTTTGCCTGAGTGTCCTATGGTCGCGTTCTCTTATTGTTTCGTACGTGCGTCCGCTGAGTAATGGAACAGAGTTAGCCGAGATGAAAGGCAACATCCATGCGCTGTTACTACGGGTACGAAAAAATAAGCACAGCAGACGCTATTACCTCAAAAATTTGCTTCCTTGCACGTTTTGAGTAAGAAGAGGATGTCAATTTCAAGTGATTTGCTTAGCAGTAATGCTACTGTTTCAACTCGAAGTGGGCGAAACTGGGACACATATCCGCTTTGCAACGGTTCGCATGCGTTTCGCGGCAGGACCGTGTCTGCGTCTCCTCTACCTCTCTTCGTGGCAAAGTGCCAACGCATGAGCGAAGTGTCTAGATGGCTGGCAAGCAACACAATGCTTTGGCTGTCCCTGTTGGAACAAATTGTGTGCTGTGTGATTGTGATATTGCCCCTATAATTAAGTATTTTGAACAAAAAAAACCCTATCAATATCAATGTATCAGACAAATCATTTGTCTGCAAGTGTACCCCCATAAAACTACAGAGTGTTAAAAAACGAAGATATATGTGACTGGAAAGAGAGAAGTTCTTGGACATAAAGGCTGCCGCATGACGAAGGCGCAATACCTTTGGGCGCGATCGCGGCTTTATTAGCCGAGGGCATGAGGTGCAGATTTACTATGGTGAGGGTATGTGCGCGCCGCGTTCGCGCCCGCTCAACTAATGGTACTTCTGCGCCTTCGTCATGCAGCAGCCTCTAGCATTATGGGAATACAGCCGCCAATTTAAAACTTTGATTTAAAAAGAGGATCTCAAAATAAGACTTCAGTAATTGTTGCAACAGAAATCAAGTGGATTAAATGGCAAAATAATTAACGCGATGCAAACTGAAGCGTATCGTGAGGTTACGGTGTATATTGTATCAGGGCGGTGCGAACTTCTGCTATTCGTAAAGTTCAATATCGCGCTTTCATTTCCTCCACTCATCCCCCCTCCCTTTCTTCCTTCACTCAAAGAGTTCATTTTTGTCAAACTCTTCTGTCAACGTGAGTAGAAAAATATCGGATAACTTTGATTTTTTCAGAATTACAAAGGGATGAATTTGGTCAAAGATTGATAATCAATGAAGTCCGCTTGAACTGGCATCACAAAGCATCAGTAACTTTACACAAGTAGTACGTATCAGTTCCACATAGCCTTCAACCTAGCATGCACTTAGGATAAGAAAAGATGGACGTAATCTTAAGCATTTAGCTAGCCCTCTTCTCCGTTTTTTCTTGTACATGCGTCCCTCAAAGTCTAGACAGAGCTATAGGAACTATAAGAAACTTCTTATAAGGTGCTAGACAAGTTTATTCACTTTTTGCAAAATCCTTATCATTAAGGCTGTAGTGGCCTCAATTTGCCGCGTAAGCAACACACACTCGCTTCTAGGATACTTGAAATCCATAAAAACATACACATCCTTAGCCTTAATGGGATTGTACACGCAATGCAGCTGCGGTGTGTTCGGCCGTGGTAAAAAGTATAATATCCCTAAAAAGGAGATCCGGAACCTCTTCCATAGCTCACATTCGTGATCTTACATGTAGTGACCAAATTAGGTGAATGAGTGCCTTATAAAAATGTTCCCAAGCGTGAATCCGCGCGCGGCAGCTTACCGTGCTTCACCATGTGCAGCACGAGTGGGAAGAGGGCACACCTTTTTGGGTAAACTATACCACGCCAGAAAGAAAGAAGTTCTTCCAAATGCCATATCGGTTTCCGAAAAGTGACCTAAACCTGGTGATACACCATGTGTAGCACGAGCGATGCTGGGCTCAATTTTATGCAAAAATTTTAACGCAGGCGAATAAGGGGTGGAAAAAATTTGCATAGGGATATTAATTGACATGTGGTATCCAGATATCATGTGTTAATTTACCCGGAAAACGTGGTGATGCACCATGTGCAGCACAAGCCCAAAAACGTGTTAGGACCAACCAACTTTACAAACGCACCTCAGTCGGAATACGAACTCCATTGTTTGCGTGGCTGACGCGTTCGATGAATGAATCGTGCTTGCTTAACTGCATTCTCCGTTCGATTCGAGCCCAATCGTACATCTGAAAGCAAGAAGTCAACGTAGTAACATCTCGAGAGTAAGAATACGACCATATCCCTCCAAAAGTAAACAATTTTTCTACGGGAAAAGTGCTTGAGTTGACTGTTATAGACTGTTTGCATAACAGGCACCTTCATTTGAAGCCCATTGGGCACTTATTTTTAAAACAAAAATTGTATTATTTGGTAAAAATTTGTACAAAGATTTACTGTACAAGGAACAGATTGTCTAAAAACGACCGCCAAAAAGCAGTTGCGCAGCGGAGTTGATGCCTCTGGGTCATGGAGAGAACGCATGGGAAGCCGAGACGCAGGCAAATAGCAGCGTAGGTTTTCCTAGTTTATATGCTTTGCAGTTGAAGATCGAAGTTACAATTCCGCTTTATGAAGTGCAAGCAGTAATGCATTAATCGATAATGCCAAAATTCAAAGAAATTTAGAACCAGAATATCACTGCTGCCTATAAACCAAAAAGCTCGTTTGCCTCAGAGCGATATTTTGTTGCAATGTCTGCATATCCTTTATTCACATGCTCTCTCAGCGACTCAAAGGCATCATGACCGCGCCACCGATAACAACGCAGCAAGTCGATTGTATGTGTACGTAGATTTGGTGGATGGAGTTTTCTAATGGTTTGCCAGTTCCTACTGTCTAATCCATAAGAACTTAGTCACCTTTTTCTTGATGAGCAGGAAAGCGTTGATAGGATTTTCGATGTCAGTGATGTCGTCGACAATATTCGAATATCGTTTCTCATACTCCTGCGCTAATCTAAACACCACCTTTAGCGGTACAAACTAAAGGAAAAGGAAGAAAACACACCCTCTGAGCTGCTCAAGTCGTTCCTGTTCAACATTTATGTACTTATAGAGCATTGTTGGGATGTTCTTTTTCGGATCTATTAACTGCTCCATGTCGGCTACGGAAGTGAACAGATCTGCATGCACAGAAGTGCACAGCAAGGCCGCTAGGCCCAGTAGTAAGCCAAGCATTCTAAAAATGGAAAATCTTGGTCAGATTCTCACAAAAATATAAACGGCGGAAAATTTATGGCAAAATAAAGCAAGGTGAAGAACCATGGCCTACAAAATAGAGTTGATAATCTGAGACCTAAAATATTATAGATTTTTGGCCCGAGAGAATGATATACTTGCTTTCGCACTGACACTCGAAACATACTGTGAAGCAACTTTTAGGGATTACGGTACGCATACAGTAAGGGGGGTTAAAGACTCAGAATCTGCAGAAATTTCGCACGGAAGGGTTATTTGATATGCTAAATATTTTCCCCGTTATTTTTTCCGCATGCAATAGTGAGGAGGCATCACTCTATACATTTTGCCTTTACAAAAAAGGCCTCACTATGCATGAATACTGTATGTGTACGGTAAGGTCTACAGATAGGGGCTAGAATCATTTCATCGTCATAGGAATACAAGTGTTGCTACATTGGATAAAGCCGGTTGGGTTTTATCAGATTTCAGCCATATTAGTGGTTTTGGACCCCTACCGTATGCCTACCGTAACTTCTCAAAATATACTAGCTTCGCAAGCAACCATTTAATCCATTGACGACGACGCCTAATTTTGCGTGGCGGCACTGTGGGACGACGCGATTTTGCACAACACTTTCGGCGTGGGAAAGGTTTGTGATTATTTACGAAGTGTAAAGTTGTTCTGTAATCAACTACAAACATCTTCTTGGACGACGGGGTCTACGGGTTTCGGGAGCGCAAAAAACTGGAAAAATTACTAACTGCGGAGAAGATACTAGACCTGGAAAAGACATGATTTTGCAAGGGGTATGGGTCACTGGTGGTCCAAATTGTCCCTGACGGCGAAAAGTGCGTGGGCCACCGGTGGTCCACATCGTCGTCAATGGCTTAAACTGCAAGCCGAGTTCAGGCATTGAGATTGAAGCCCATATAACGTCTGGATTCAGGCTATAAGCAAGTTGAGATTCCTAGAAATGTTAAGAAACTGGCTAACAGAGATTTTTCAGAAAGAATACCACATGAGCAGTCGAAGAGAAGAATGCATTCACTATAGTTACAACGACGGAGGCGCACACCAGCTGTCTTACAGCTTTTTCATTCAGAAAATGACTCAGCAGTATAATTGTTAGGAACCTGCACTGCGCTCGGAAAATTGATCTTGTAGCCTGCAGGCTAGGAAATGGAAAACTGCTAGACTTTCTTTGGTTTTTACATTTTATTTGATTTAGTTTGAGGCGAAACGAATTCTCCACTTCATTGTACAAAAAATGTATTTTGAATATAACAAAAATATATGACGTACGTGTTTATCCTAATCCAGAGCATTTCTGGGAAAAAATTTAAAAATTCGGGTGCACGACCTAGAGCGGGGGGAGGGGGGAGGGGGCACCCAATGTATCAGGCTGCAACTCTCAGTGTTTATCCCATTGTTATGAGTTCTGATGTTTATATCACTCCATCGACAATGTACGAAAAAAGAAAGCAGCCAAAAATTATTTTTTTTCCACATTATCATGATTTCTAAAAAATACATAGTTCTGAGCTTCTCAGAGTACTTGCAAACACTCACTCCTTTTCATGTCGTTCATTTGCAAATTAACAAATCAATCTTCGAAAGTGTGACTGATTTGACACTAAGCCGTTTTTGGCATGTTTTTGCTCTACAATGTTGCAATTATGATTCGTTGAAGAATTTTCGAGATCATCTCACTAAAGGGCCGAGCATACTCCACGCGATTTCAGTCGCGACGCGATTTGACAATTCGTCAGAAGTCTTCAAGTCCAACACTAGCAAAGTGCACATGCATAGTGTGCATAACTTGCGTGGATTGATAAAATGTCCTATCTTCTGTACATTCAAAATGTGCTTACAGTGAGTTATAGACAGTTGGAATATTGCCAAATCGCGCCGCAACTGAATTTTCGTGAACTATGTCCGGCCCTCAATGCGACAAATGTGGGATGGGGAGAGGAGAGGGGGGGGGGGGGTTGGTAGATGTTCTTAGACGAAAATCACTTAGTATAAATGAGTAACAGAATATGTATTTCCAGTCATCTGCCAATTGACTTCCTAGTCATACTACAGAACTACCGTAGTAAGTTTCTAGAGGCATGGCAGCAGCTGAAAGTACACAAAATTCTTATTTGATACTGTCATACTAACTATGTTAGGTCGGTCCAAAAGTTCTGTCCCCATTTTCAAAAATTTGTATGTCCGCTATCTCATCGGATTTCCTGGCTTGTAATTTTACTGGAAAGAATAAGTCTTTCGCTTCCAACACCCTCTGGCAGAGCTTCTGCTCTACACTAGCTGCAGAGATAAAAATGGAAAAGAAGGACTATGTAAGCTTTGATCATTTCAACTTAGGTCACCAAAAATCTGGAAAATTGCAAAAAAATCCGAAAATGTCAGTACCATGTACTGACATTTTTTATAAGTTCTATGACCTCAAATGTAAAAAGTTTGTGCTGTTTTGGCGTTTCTGCGAAAAATTATGGATTTTCAATTTACTACAGGAAACGCCAAAATAGAATAATTTGCCACTTTCAAAAATCATAACTTCTCACAGAAACGTCAAAACAGCACAAACTTTTCACATTTGCAAAGAGCAGCTCGTAGCTTATATACTGACAATTTCGGATTCTTCTGCAACTTTCCAGATTTTTGGTGACCTAAGTTAAAATTATCAAAGCTTACATGTCCTCCTTTTCCATTTTTTTTGTTCTGCATGCAGTGTAAAGCAGAAGCTCTGCAAGGCAGTATTCGAAACCAAAAGACCTATTCGTTCTAATAAAATTACAAACAAGCAAATTTGCTGAGTTAACGCAAAGTTGCAGAAATTTTGAAAGTGAAACGACAAAATTTTCGGACCGACTTAATATGCACTGATATCCCCCCCCTTCATTATTCTAAATCTTTTTAGATCGACCTTCATACAAGGCATATTAATTGTTGCCATGAGCAGCAGTCCACAAATGCCACCAAAAATGTTCAAGGTGAAAATCATACATACAGAAGAGGACCAGTCTCAATCACACTGAGAGCCAAAGGCGAAAATGACTACAGTAATCAAATTAAAAAATCATTTTTGTTCCTAAAATGTTTTCATTGTCGATGAAATCGAAGCACAAAATTATTTTTATTTAGCTACAATTTTTTTCATAACCCACAATCATACAAAAAAATCTTAGAGATATCAAATCAGAAAAACAGCCCAGTAGTCAAACCACCCATATTTGTAATAACAACAATCCATGCAAAAGTCTTTAAATTAATTTTGAGCTAAAAAATCACGATTTTTGGAACAAATTCAAATTTTAGACAGTTCTTCAATATTGGGCGATTATCGCCGAAACTATTGAATGAAGGAGTTTTTGAAATGCAATTTCAAAAAACCGCGGGAATATTGTGTGGCTATAAAATAATAGAAAAAACTGATGTTTTGAACTATACAACTACAGTAAGCACTCTGAGAACCAAAGCATGTAGTGCACGTGCAGTTACGCGCATTAGGAACGATGCACGATTCATCGTTCGTAGTACGGGCGGCAAGGCGCGCCGAAGCGGGCATCGGCATGGCCGTAGTGTGATGGATGAATGGGGAGTGTGTCCAGTGGGTGGGGAAGAAGACGGTTTTTCCGTCGTCGTCCGCCACCGCCACCATCGTCGAGCCGGCACGTACGCGCGGCCGCGCTCGTTCCGCGCGCGCCGACAAACTTCTGCACGCGAGCCGCGGCCGAGCAGTCGCGCGGCGTTCGCTCGACTCGAAGGACGTCGGCTGTTATGAGGATTTCTGGTTCTCTCCGAGAACGACTTATAGCAGTCGATGAGGAGGCAAATGCGAGAAAATCACGTCTTCGTTGAACGGGCAATGTTCATGTGGGACGAAGCGATAGTGGAGGGGGGGGGGCTGAAAAAAAATAACGGCAAAGGGGAGGGACAAACGAACGACAATTAGATCTCTTGCTTCATCCTACAAAGACCCAAGAAAACCGTTTTTATCGAACAAAAGGGAAAAATATTGGTGAGTTCACGAAGGTGATAATTACGATCTATCAGAATAAACATAAAGGGATCTCATTTTTTGGTTTTTCCGCTCATTTTTTGCATTACATATCCTTATCTCAACCTCATTTTGTTTTCACAAATTGAGTGAGCGACAAATCCTAGAAACAGACTTTACAATCAAGTAAAAGAACAGGATGAAGAGATACAATACTTTTCAGGAAACTCTAACTTGAAAAAAATCAAAAATATAATTGCTGCTATATTTGTGGAAACGAATAAGGCGAAAAAAACATTTTTCTAAAAGGACTATTTGTCTGTTCCACATGGAACCAAGCAAGAGAAGGATGTGCAATGCGCTGCCTGCAATCGTCCGTAGTTTTTATATTTTACAAAAAGTCACGAAATCAATTAATAAGTGTAAAGATTTTATTATCATTAGAAAAAGAAAGTGTCTCCACAGGACTAAAAATTTAGGTATCAAAATGCGGGGCGGGGGGGGGGGGAATGCAAGGCTGCTCTCCTTTGTGGGGACACGTGAATTATAGATCTACGTAGGTAGATTGTTTTTATCTACAAATAATCTGGATAATTCCACAAATTTCGCAACATCAAGCTAGCTGCTAACTTCATCCGGCGTGGCCCTTCCTCACCATCCGAAAAAAATATTTGAGATCACTACAAAATCGTAACTTTCATCAGTGGATGAGAGCAGTCTAATAATAAAGTTAAGACTTCGTGAAATGGCAGTGACTTTCTTCGGGAGGGGAGGATTTCCTCGGTGCATGGCATGGAAGGCGAGATGAAGGGGGGGGGGGGGAGGAGGAAGGGGCATTGCTGGGATGACAGTTCCTCAAATTTCTTTCGAATTGTGAAATTTTTGATAGGGGGGGGGGGACTAGGAGCATCGAGGTGTAACACCCCCCCCCCCTTCCCTTGCTCCGCCCTCATCTTGACTTAGCGTAGTGCTTTAGTTGAATACACATAATTATGAATTA